CCTAATATCTGAACTCTGAGGGACTCATATACAGGGTTCAACCCCAAGAGGAAGGCAAAACCCCGTTGTTGGGAAACTAGAGACTTGTAGGCCTTAGCATTAGTGTCATACTTCCAGTCAATGTTCTGATAGTGATCTAGTTCTTTCCAAATTGAGGTCAAATTTGAATAATAGGATGAGAGGGTCCTCTCCCCCCCTGCTTACAAGTAAATGAGGCATCTTGCAACTAGTATATTTTGGCATAATGACGTTGTTTTGAATAGGTAGATTTTGCCTGCTCCCAAATCTCAACAACTATTTCAGCCCACATGAAGGTCTTCCTAACTGGAGGCAACATAGAAAGTAACAGCCATGACATCATCATGTTGTTTTCCTTATCCCACCTATCATGCTCCACCCCCTGAGACTTTGGTTCTTTTGTTTTACCATTAATATAGCCTACCTTCCCCCTGGCTGTTATGTATAATTTGATTCCCCTTGACCATTCTAGGTAGTTAAGACCATCAAAAGGTATCATGGCCATGGGGAAACTCATGTCAAAACCCCCACTCACTCCACTTTTATTGGAGGACCCACTAGACAGGATAGAATCCTCAGATGGCATGTTAAAGGATAGTTCTGTTAAAAAAACAATCACAGTTCAGCCACAATTTATTAAAACTTCAGTTCAGCCAAGTTCAGCCACTGTTCAATTTCAGTTCATCCAGTTCAGACCCCAGTTCAGTCACAGTTCAATCGCCAATTCAGTTCAGACACAGTTCAGTCCCCGGTTCAGCCACGGTTCAGTTCAGTTAAGTCTTAGTCAGGTATAATTTTTTTTGGAAATCACACATCTACTGGAAAATTTTCCAAGAATTAGTCAACCACTGTTTTATAGTTACAGGTCATTTTGACCTATATCACCCAGCTAATTGGGCACAGAAATGGATCACACAATCCACAAGAAAAAACTCACAGCACTTACAGGTCATTCAGACCTCCATAACCCCCTTACCTGGGTACAGAAAAAGGAACACACGATCCACAGAAAACAGGTGAAAGAACCTTCACAGCATCAAACTTCCCTCTCTTTAATTTGTTTCTTGGCACACGACCAAGAGAGAAGGGAAGAAAGGGCATAGAAAACTTCAGATCAGTCCAATGCACTTCCTTGACAGGTTCGATCCACAGCAAGAAGAATCTGAGAAAAAAACTGAGAGAAGAGAGAGATCTCGCGGCTCCTAATCTCAGAAGACCCGCTCTGATACCATGTTTTCAGACGAGAGATATCAGAGGAGAGGAGGAGAGAAAGGAGGAAGAGAGAAGAGAGACAAAACTGGATTCAAACTTGTAGTTGGCGGCACCAGCTATTAGCTTATACATTGGGGCGACCCAACTAATAATAAAAAGAAAAGAAATAACAAGAGTGCCCCTGTAGCACTAAAGAACAGAAAAACATAAATAAAAAGCCTAAGAGAAGAGGCCAACTGATTCCAACAGATATAAACGCACATGCTTTTTATGGTTTAAAATGTCCCTAATTTCCCTAATATTTCCACGACATATTTCCATTTCCATGGGTAACGACACGAAAATTTAATGGAATCGACATTTCCCCAATGAACACTACCAACACTATGTGGTGTACAAGAGATAGTTTCCACGACATACTTCCATTTCCACTTCCATGGTTAGCAACATGAAATTTACTGGAATTGACATATTTCCCATTGAACACTACCAATACTATGGGGAGTACAAGAGATTGTATTATAACATAATTTGGTGACGCCTAGGCGACAACGCGCCCTTTGAGGCTCGCCTCGCCTAATCGCCTAGCAGTTTTCTACTTCCTACTATAAAATACTATTTTATTCATTCTTTTTTGAGATTATAATTATAAAATAGACATTATTAAACTAAAATAATCATTTTGTGTGTTTATATATTAATTTCTTTTTATTATTTTCTTATATATTAGGGTTTAATCAACACAAACATTGCTAAATGTTGTATTGAACCCTCAAAGACTTAAAAA